AGAGGCATCAGCACTTGATTATATCAAAAAAATTAGGGGGAAACAGCTGTCAATATAAATAAGAAATCACCTACTAACCTAATCTAACACTTTATTACAGCTTGTCTGTTGCGTATCGCATTAATTATTCCATGAAGGTGCTATCGAACTCAACCAGATGACTTGAGTGACATTTTTGAATTTTTGGCAACACCAAAAGCTGATCAAATTGGGTTGTCATTTGCCAGCAGTTTAAGGCAGTAGGCTCCACCTTCCTCAACTGTTTTGAACAAGATTTTCTAACAACAAGCCTCAGATTAAAAGAAATGCTTAAAGAATACTATTTGCATATTCTAGGAAAGTGTCCTCTTTCCGAAGACTTTTGATTTCCCTACAAGGAAGTACAATTATTTCATCTTGTACCTGAAAATGTACCACAAATCATCACATGAGCAATTGAATAACTCACTAATTTGGCTGATGAAATAGGCCTTAGAGGATCGGTGATGAAGAATTCGACAAAGTGTGGCAAAAAACGGGCTGGGCTTATTGGATCACTTTTTGGCTGAATTGATAAATGTGACTGGTGAAAGGACGTTTAAAAGTTGTAGACATTATGTTAGCCCGAATACAGAGAACCCAAGGTAGAATTTAAGCATTTCCAGCTAGTTACAGCGGTAGTAATTTACTTCCAGCGAATTAATCAACGGCTAAAGGAGGACTATGGGTAGCAGTTTTACTTTGGGAGGAGTTATGAAGCACAAAAGCCGGTATTGTAGAGTGACACTGACCACATTACTTACTAATACGTTACACAGCCCAGCATCAGTTCTTCACTTGTACTCTCAACTGGAAAGTGTTTTGGTAGTGATGACAATACCAAATCTTACTGCATTTGAAATTTCTATGCCTATATGCATGTTCAGTTGAATTATTACACAAAGTAAGCCATCTTGTCACATGCCTGACGAGATGACTTGCAGAAACAAGAGTATGAAAGGTCAAATGCTTTTCAATAAAGCAAGCTGCAAATATGATCACGTCGCCGTCAACTTGTATTAATCATAGAGGAGCTCTTCAATTTATACATGTATCTTGCTATTACTCCCATTAGGATGAAAATTGTGCCAGAAATTTCAGCAATAAAGGAAATGTTATAAGACAGTAGGACAAGACGTAAAATAGGTAAAACAGAACGACCCTGTAAAAGTTCACTTTCTGTCTTAAATTTCTTTACGCGCAAATTAAAGCACGTCTCTAACTCTCCCACAGATTGTAGTAAAAAGGGGGAGACAAATGATACTTTATTGCAATTTTTGATAAATAAACCCTTTTAAAAAAAGGGACAAAACAATCGATGTGGACAATTCAAGTATATGTAGAGGTACAGCCGCTTCCTTGTCAGTGCGCTCAAATTGAGAACAGACTCGTTCATGCCTTTAACGTCAGCGAGGCAACGAATCCGTTTATATTTTCGCAGTAGTCAGTCCATATCGCAGGTGTTTTACATGCATTCATCGCACTCAGGGAGCCAATTCATGTTTAAATTTTAGCTATTAACTTGACAACTAAAATTACCACTTTGTCGAAAATATCGCTGCATTCACGACAACAAGAATAGCACAAATTTTCCGTCCCACACGCCACAACAATATGTTGCAACCCTTGGTAAACCATAAATACCGATGATTGTTCAAGCTGTACGTCACCATGACGTTAAGGCTTAATGGCACGGATCCACCCAGTGTTGCGCTGTCGATTGACAAATGTCACTTTTGAGGACAGTTTTAATGGCTTAGGTTGCCCTTTCAAATATACTGACAAGTGAGCGACTTGTATTTGGTACTACATGTCTCAATGTGTTTGCAGGCAGAATGTTTCCCCATTGCCAATGGGCATTCGGACTATTTGGGTTTTTAAAAGCGTATAACCATCCACAACTCCTGCACATCAATGCCAGCCAGTTGCTAACATGTCTCCTTGAAAATGCTGATAGTTTGACCTATACCGCAATACTATGAAACTAGCGCATCTCCGCTGCAAAACGCCGGCACTGCCTACTTGCCTGAGTAGTGTGTGGGCATTTCTTCCCTCCGTGGAAGCAGGTCACAGCGAGAATTCTCATTACCAATGGCGTGCAATGCCACGCAACCACATATTCGTCAATTTGTTTTCCACCACCACAGCGTGTACTACCAGCCTTCGTTTAATGCTCCAAAGGAACGATCACCATGCTCATCACGAAATGCTCAGCTTCGGTGGGCTCGCCCAAGGTAATTGTCCCAATTCCATTGGCGAATCAACACCACCAAGAAAACGTGGAAGTCAGAAACCAATGCATATTACGTGAATAGTTGGAGCAACTGTTTCCTTTTAGAATACAGTCATTCAGATTACCTCAGAACTCACGTTCGGTGTTGAGGTATGGCACATGATACAAATGTAGATGAATGTATACATAATCAGACATGAATTGCGATTTTACAATTGGATGGGGACACTTTACGCAGATTGGTTGTCCAAGTCTTCAACTTCTTCCAGAAGAGGCTCCTCATAACTGTTGGCACGTCGGCGGAGAACGTGATAGCCAATGACGTAAACGAGGACACACAGCGCCGCTGAGACCACTGTGATTGACAAGAAGAGCATCGTCCAGATGAGAGGTGAGTAGTGCTTGGGTGGAGGAGTGCCCAAGGCGAAGGTGAGTGTCCTGTGAAATCGCATGCAAAGAAGGAAGACTCCATAAGGGGATGTCACATATGAGGTTTAGGTCGAGTCGATGACACAACAGAATCCAATGGGAAGGAAGAACACTGAGCGGAACCAACCCCAAGGAGTGCCCACTGACCTTCTCTCCCAGCATAGTTCCACCCTCGCACCTACGCTCATACACCTGTTCCAGCATTTACCTGATGCACAAAAGCACCGTTTCAGTACGACTTATCAGCGCAATTGGACAATTCCAGGGTAACCAGTGTAGTCCATCTGCCGAGAATGCAAGATCTTGCAGATGATCGTATTCACCACATTTGCCACATGACAAGTCGACCCTCGTGCAGCTTCGTCGCGAGACAGTTTGGGCATTAAGAATGACTGGAGCAGTTTAAATGCCGACTGAATGCTCATACGAGTGTCTGGTTAAACAGTGGGATGGGAACAGAAACACCATGACCGACACCATCACTGGCGCACAGACGTATGATGCACTGTCTTAAGCACTCATACTAGCACGACAACCTACAGCTGAACGGAGTGTTGCATTATGCTGCAAACGGTGTCTGAAGTTCTCTGTCCACACGAACGCATACACGTGTGGCTTCCACAATTCACAGCCCCTAGCTCACCAATGAGCCAGTAGACACTGTAGGGATCAGGCAACTTCTCCATAAAAATGGCCTTTTCATTACACTTAAGTAATCACGCTACAACAGAGGTATAAGTGGCACAGGCAGGCTGAGGCAGGTCAAAGCCTATTTTCTGCAACATGGCAATGGAATTAAATGCATGCCATTACACGCCATTGGCAATGCCAGTTCTCGCTGTGACCTGCTTCCGCGAAGAGGAGAATAAATGAGCAAAAGAAACGCCCACACACCAACCATCGCAGCTCGAAGCGTCACCGTGGCAGTGCAACTACCACAGCAGCAGAGGCGTAATTTTTTTACGGTGTCACTCTAAACATCACTATTTCCAAGATGTCAAGTTGAGAAATGTTGGCCAATATCGGACGCGGGAGGTTCGGATGGGTGTCACATCACTACCCCACATGTCCCATTGCATACCGGCAATGAGAAGACTTCCTGTCTGAAAGCACACTAGGAACAGGCAGTACCGAACACAAGTCACTCACCAGTCAATGTAGTTGGAAGAGCGATAGAATCCATCACCCGTGTCCCCAAAACTGATATTTAGCTGTCGAACAGCAATGGAATCCTCGGTGGGTCCGTACACGAAGGGTAAGAGGGAGGACGTGGTGAGGGACCGATTGGTCGCCTTGTCGACACACCACTGGGTAGACACACTGATCGCTCGACTGGACTTCAAATCCGTTGCTGTCTCGTCGATGTAGCAGACAGACTTCCATGTCACGTAAGAGTGATTGCTGAGGAAAATTGTCATGTCCTGAAATCGACAGAGCATTCACCTTAAAGGGGCATTCGGTTTGCGTTAAGGCTACTGCTTTCACCGCTCGATACGGTGTTTGGAAATCAAGTCAAATTTTGGCGAAGATTCCTAGTTTTCGTGTGTTAGCGTTCCTTTCGACTCGCTTGTGGGACAGGGATTTATTAAATAATTCCTGCTAAAATTACCTATGTGACTAATGTGTATGCTGTTACTTACGGCATGACCGCTGCTTCTATTTTGTCAGTGTGATGACTGAATAACCAAGCAAGTGTCTCAAGTAGTCAAATGCATGAACGAAAACCCAAATAAACATTCTTCACAGATGGCAAACAGTTCCTAGTTTTCCGAAAATAAGGCACAAGTAGGGTTCTCTTCATCAATGGCAGCTATCGCTCAGTTCGAACGGGTAAGTTCTGGCTTTGTCAACGTGCTCTGGCAAAGCGGAGCTTAATATGCTCCTTCCTGAATCACTCGTACCTATACCGATTGACACAACTGTTTACAGTGGCTCTTTCTGTTGTGGTAACCCTACGTGCGTTTCTAACTGCACCTTATATAAGGTTATCCACCAAGTGAGTTTTCGCTTCCAACTCGCGCTTATTGTTGCGCATGGAAATGAGTGTGTCCATCCACACAGCTCTCGTTTGCCGTGCTGACTCATTAAAACCATGTTTTTACTTAAAACATTGGAACACCTCCGTTTTACTTCCTGTGTGGATTCCCTGTCTGCACACACACGCGCGCATTATTTTTGGCTTTTCCAACTTCCTTGCATAAGCCACTATCTTTGCCATCCCGTTCGCAAGAAATGGTGCATTATGATGAAATGTAAAGGCATATTATGAAAAAACATTTGCCTTTCCTCGTATATCAACCTTCTATTCAGCACCCAAAGGAGAGTGTGATGGAATGATGGAAACGCGGCGAAACTACGTAGCTACTTAAAAAAGAAAGTTGAGTGATCTGAGTGATAAATGGTTCCATGCACGATGGTAACACAAAAGTATAATTAAAATTAAGTGAGTGGTTGCACATTAGCTTGGCTGTCACAGCCTCGCGTAATGAACGACACGTTGTTCAACCTTTAAAACCTTATTCTTAACAGCATTTTGTGCAAGGCAAGCATCTTACAACTTTGCTATAATCGAGTATCAACCCACCGTTGTAAAGTGACAACATGTCTACGGCTTACTTCCAACACTGGGAGACGTAGACATTTGGTGATTCAACCTCGGCTGCTTGCCTACACGGAGTCAGAGTACTCCAACGAAAAGATATAACTCCTTTCTTACACATACGCCAGTAGAGTCAAATAGCCGAATGCGAACGCTGCAGAAACACTAAGTCACTAGTTGAGGTTACCAAATGCGTCAGAGGTGCAGTCGGGACGACCGTAAGTATGGTTTAGACGCAACCTCCTCTCCCCTCGTTCTGGCAGACAGTCAATACGCCCTCGAACATAGCTAGACGATTGAAGTGCAAGTGCGTCCTGGACAG